CCAATGGTTTTTCGTGAGACCCGTAAGACCAATTCTCAACCCTTAGATTAGATTTACAATCGTCAGATCTGAACATTTATAAATGCCACGAGACTTCTCACAAATTACGAAATTGCCACCTTGCAACTTTGCAACCATTAGATCATTATCATAAATTTGATCAATGAACATAAATTGGTCTTACGGGTCTCACGAAAAACCCTTGGTCTAACGTGAACCCAACCCTATATATATATATATATATATATATATATATATGAAAGATCATGTGAGAATAAAAGTTAAGATGAGAAAAACGTAAGAAAAAATCTGAGCACTTGATCACTTTTATTCTCAACCCCACCCCATGAATTGCGCTTTTCACATGAATTGATCCGGTGCACCGTATTAGTGTTGTCTTCAATTACGATTGATCCAAGGTCGAGATCACTTTTTACCTTCTCATCATAACTTCCATTCTCATCGGAACCCAACCTTATATATATATATATATGTATGTATGTATGTATGTATATATGTATGTATGTATTATATATATGTATGTATGTATGTATGTATGTATGTATGTATGTATGTATGTATGTATGTATGTATGTATGTATGTATGTATGTAGAGGGAGGTTAAGGGGAAAACCTCAAAAAATGAAAAATTGAGTAACACACTGATAACCATTCATCTGGTCGATATACACATGTGAATACTGGTAATTGAAGTGTTTCTTGGTTTTTACGCATTTATTCATGTTATGTACATGTGCATACAAGACAAATTGCATAAAAAATTGTCTGTATGCACATATGCATACCGTCCAGATTAACGGTTACCAGGGTGTTCCTCAGTTTTTCATTTTTTTGCAGAGAGAGAATTGGGTTTCGATGAGAATAAAAGTTATAGTGAAAAAGGTAAGAAGAGATCTCCACCCTTGGATCAATCCTAATTGAAGAGAACATTAGATAAACACTAATGAGACACACTAGATCAATTCTCTTTTAAAACATAATTCATGGGCTGTTTTAGGATTAAAAGTGATCAATGATCCAAATCTCTTCTTACACTTCTCATTTTAACTTCTATTCTCACATGATCCTTCATTTACATCACACTTGTAAAAAATATCCTATAAAATAGATAAAATGACACTTTATAACTAAAACATTATAAAAACTTGTTAAAATGTCTAAAAATGTTTTATAAACATATTGTAACACTATTAAATAGAATGTTTTATGGTTTAGTTCTATAAACTTAAATTAAAGTATTCTATTAGGACATTTAAATTTTTTTAGACGTCCTATAAAGCCAATTTATTGTAGCGTTAAAACTAAAAACTCTTACATATGAATTATTATAATTTATTTTGTGAATTTGATTTATTTATTATAATTAAAGATTAATCTTTTTTAATAGCATATGCGGACTCGTATTATATCTAGAAGTATGTCTGTTCACTGGTTGATATTCACTGGATGTGGGGGGAACTGAACCGATCTAATTATCCATTGAAACTTGGATTTTAGCCAACCGATTCAATCCGATTAGCATCGGACAACTGATCCAATCTAATCAGATGGATAATTGGATCAGTTCGGTTCCATCAATTAGATATTCTTATTGAATATCAAATGGATAAGATTGGATCCGRCCATTATTAATTGGATTGGATTAGATCAACCCAACATCTAATGGATGATGATAACGGATTAGATCCATCCAACTTTCAAATATTGAMATAAATTTATTAATCACTTCTAATACGTGTTAAAACCGACACARGCGAGACTAAAATTCAAAAAACCAATAAAAAACAATTCTGATTTAAGAAAATTGAAAACAAACTAATTGGATGATAGTTGGATGGATAACTAGATATTCCTAGGCGTGTTCATCRGTTGACATCCATTGGATTTGAGTGRAACCGAACMGRTCTATTCATTCATTGGATATTGGATTTTTYCAACCGATCCGATCCGGTTAACATTGGATAACCGATCCAATTCAATGCAATAGATGATTAGACCGGTGCGGTTCCATCCATTGGATACTTTTATTGGATATCCAATGGATGATCCGATGGGACTGGATCCATCCAGTGTGTTAATTCAATCCAATTCTCTAACAATGAGACAAATTAATTAATCACTTTTAATATGTGTTAAAACCAACACAAGAGAAGTTAAAAATTCAAAGTCTCATATAAAAAATTTCCGATTTAAGAAATTTGAAAATAAATTAATTGGATTATAGTTGGATAATGAGTGGATGGGCAACTGGATGATTAATTAGATGGGTAATTGAATATTGATCGGTTTAGTTCGGTTTTGGTCGGTTCTAGACTGCCATATGACAATCGACTGATCCAAATTAGATGTTGAAATTTTCAATTCGATCCAATCCAATTACAATTGGATATCCAATTATGGTCGGTCGGTTCCAATTGGATCAGCGGGTTCCAATTGGATCAGCGGGTTCCAATTGGATCGATTGAATTTCTTCACACCCCTAGATACTTCTGCCTGGCTCATCTTATGTTTGCTTGTGTATGTGTTGAGATGGATGGTCATTAGATGGTTAACTGAATAGGTAATTAGATGTTTGTCGATTCGGTATCGGTTTTGGACTGCCATCTAAGAACCGACTGATCCAAACTGGATGTTGAAATTTTCTATCCGATCCAATTACARTTGGATATCCAATTATAGTCTGTCGGTTCCAATTGGATTGGTTGATTTTATGYACACCMTGTCTAGAAGATCAAGGCACGACCATTTGGGTTTGTGGGCAATTTTTGTTATTATTGGACTCTAATTTTAGCTGGATGGGATGTCTTTGTGGTTAAGGTTTTTTTTAGGTTCAATATATTATGAGCTGCGAAGTGGGTTAGATGGTTCGGCTCGGGACCGATTAGGASTAGTAAGACCATTTACGGACAAAAGTCCAGACTGGTTATAAGTTTTTTCRAAATTCAAGTTTCAACCTAGCTAAGGACCCGACCGGTTATGCATATGACTGATTTTTCAAGTTTTTACAAATTATAGTACCAATATTTCATATTTTTTTTCAAGTTTTTCATGTAAACTATTTAAAGTTTATTTCACTACTCAATTACAAAAATAGTAATTATAAAATCCTATATAACATTTTTGTGTAACAAAAAGATTTAACTTTTGTAAACTTGGCCGGACCAAGATCAGTTTCCGTCCCAAGATCAAACGCAAGATTTTTGGTCGAAGCCAGGACAGACCGATCAGGTTTTGAAGGGACTGGACCAACCCAGGTCAACTAAGGACCCATTTTTGGCCATTTCATTTGCATGGATTTTCTAAGTATAATCCATATACTTTTTTCCCCATGTTTATATTAGAGAGATGTGTTTACACAAGGGTTTTTGGTTAAAAATTTGTGGTATTGCAAGGGTTAACAATATTGTTCTTTTATGGGTATGCCAATCTTTTATTTGTGATTTTTAATTTTCTTTTAAATATTTTCTTTTTTAGGTTTATTGAAAAGAAAAAAATCACTTCTTTGAAGATTCAAAAAACTTGTCCTAACATAATGATGGATGACTTGATGAGAACTTGAAGATTCATGAAATTGTTCTGAAAAAGAATCAAAGATTATGAGCAAATCAAGAAGAAATTGTCGACTCTCAAAGTTAGTACACCGGGTGCAACCAAAGAGGAGTTGAAACCTTCAACATCAAACAACAAATCCAAAGATGTGTTTGAAAGCTATGATCTTGATTATGTAGAATTCCAAAAGGCTTATCATGGCATTGTTGAAACCGTTAAAAACTGATCGATGAGTTAATATTGGACTAATTAGTTCCTTGCATTTAAAAGGAATATGAAGTGCTTGAACTTAAATCTAAATTGGCTCATGAAGACCAAGAAACGCAATGAAGTTAAAATATCGAATGAAGAAACTGTTAAACAAGAAGTTGCATACTTAAAGGTTAAATTGTTAACAATGCAAAATTAAACAAAATATTCAATATTTAAAAACCCTAAGGCGGTGTTTGGTTCACAGAATGGAATTTGATGGAATTGGAATCCATCAAAGGGATTTGACTTTGAAGGAATTGGAATGAAATTTGATGAAATTTGATCATGCATTTGGTTGGTAGGAATTAGAATGAAATCTCTCAATAGAATTTGAACAATCGTCTTTGTTTGGACTATCCCATCCATCGCCCCACCCACACCCTACCAACTATCATGACACTACTGTCGTCGTCACAACTATCATCCCGTCTGCCCCATCTTACCTAACCCCTTCCCCGCCACTCCTGCCCCACCCTTGCTTCATAG